ACTTTCCCAGTCTGATTTTCCCAGTCAAAATTATGATTCTTCTCTATTCTATAGATAGAAACTACTGTTGGAAAGGTAATTATTAATGTTTATTTGATATTCGATTCTTGTTCTTAATTTTCTTTATGTTTGGATACAGACTAATCCCCCCCCCTCTATGTTTTTTTCCTACTCCCCTGTTCCCTTCCATGTCTCACTTCTCTTCTTATTTGTTTCTATGCTATTTGTTGTGTATAGAGAAAAATCCAGAACGGCGGACTTATGTTAGATGTTTTTTTTACTTACCCAGGGAGAAATACAGGTTGAAGTAACGTCTAATAGACATCTAATAAACGCCTATAAACGTCTAATAAATATCTAATAGACGTTTCTTCGACCTGCATTTCTCCCTGGGTATGCGACTTGATGGCCTCAAAGCCCGTTTTGGTTTCTATGGGTTCTATGACTCTTTCCAGAGAGCTTTCTTGTGATGCGTGTGGTACCTCAGTAGGCATGGCTTCTTGATACAACTCTTGTTATAAGTGCTCTGGTTCTTCTAGCAATGCCTGCTGAATTGGTCTCTTTAATCTATAAAGGAGAAGTATTATTAACTATTGAATCTCTATCAAAGATTACGCAGATAGTTTCTGATAGTTTCGCTGGTGTTTTCTCGCCTATGGCACAAATTTGATTTACATGTCTTTTCCATATTCGTTCATCATCTAATTGAATTTTAAAATGTTCCTATTTGCTTTATGATTTTTCTAAACATCTATTTATCATTACCTATGTAGTTTCTACAACTCACTTTCCTCTCTACTTCGAAAACAATAGGCGCTTGCTTACTTCCTATTTGCGTTAATTTTCTGTAGTAGTAAATCTAATTGTAAGATTAATTTTCTCGTGAACATTAATTCCGCTGACGATTTCTTAATTGCAAGGTGGCTCGTATTTCGATACTGTATGAATATCTGTTGTACCATTACGTGTACGTTTAATGAGTCGCTTCGCATACGATGTAATAAATTTTTGAGTTTCGACAAATCTTTCCATTTGATGCTTTTTGTTAATTGGTTATACGGTGCTGTAAACCTTTGCGTAATTTTATTTACTTTTAAGAATAACGTAAATTCGGTCGAGGTAAAAATTTTCACGTTATCAGAGACAAAATATTTTGGGATTTCAAACATGTTTTTGTGTAGTGTAGTATCCTTGAAAATACGCATTTCAGGCCATTTCGTGTATGAATTGACCAAAATAAAAAAGTAGATCTCTGGCTAAATTTTTCATTCTAACTACACAGAAATGTCCTATATGTAATTCTTGTAATATTTTGTTACGTAGTGACTGAGGAATAACTGCTCTATGACCTCTAAGAATTATTCCATTCTGTAGTGTAAATTCTCGTGTGTTTATTTGAAAGTTATCGTATTTTTCTAGTTTCCTTCTGGATGCTAATGATTCGTATAATTTTGAAAGTTTCGTGTCTTTTACTATTGCTATCCAAGTCTGTAATTGTAATAGACAATGTTTCGATAGTATTTAATTGAAAAACATCGACAAGGTCATAGTTTGTACGATTAATGTTTATAGGAAGACGTGATAGATAATCCGCGTTTGCATGCAATTCTGATTTTTTATATTTAATTCAGTAATTGAATCCTTGTAAAAACAAAGCATAATGTTACATTCTTACAGCATTAAAAACGGGAAAGCTTTTGTGCGGAACAAAGATTTGAGATAATGGACGATGATCTGTTATTAATGTAAAATACCTGCCGTGTAAATATTGATAGAATTTCTTTATATCGAAAATAATAGCATAAACTTCTTTATCTATTTAAAAATATGATTTCTGTGTATCATAAAGGGTTTGTGATGCATACTGTATGACTCGTTCGGTGCCATCTGAATAGATGTGCGATAGTGCGCCTACTCCGTAGGGGCTTACATCTGTAGTTAATGTAAACGGTAACTTGAGGGGGTGAACTAGGCTATTTAGGATTTGTGAATGCTTTCTTTGCTGCTTGAAAACTTTTTTCACAATTCTTAGATCAACCAAAAGCAGTATTTTTATGTAATAAATTATTTAAAGGATATAATATTGAGTTGAGATATGGAACGAAGGGACCATAATAATTAATCATCTCAAAAAAACTACGTACTTCAAATATGTTTCGTGATTTTTGCACTTTGTTTATAGCTTCAATTTTATCTTTTATGCTTTGTGTAATCCGTTTCTGTCAATTATGTAGTCACAATAATTAATTTTGTCCGTAAGAAATTCGCTTATCTAGATTAATTCTAATATTATATTTTTGTAAATATTTGAACGTTGCTTCCAGCTTTTGTAAATGATCATTGATATCTCTTCCCGCAACATGTATGTCATTTAAAAATATAATTACATCTGAGATATCTTTTAGAATACTTTCGATAACCGTTTGCCAGATTACGGGTGCTGAAGCAATTCCGTACATCAGACGGTTACTATTGTCAACAAACCAATATCTGAATCTCTCATGAAAATGTTCTAACCTTTCTCTGCAAAGTGTGATATCCATTACATCCTTTATAGCGATATGTAATTGCAGTTGGGTCTTTTTTTCGATTCTTGCATTTACGACCTGAATAAAAACTTCATATTTTTATTTTTTATTGTATTATTCATCTAAGTTTTATACACTTTTTATTTAGTTGTAATGCTGCATCTCTTTCTTTTATAGTATCTTACTTTTACTTATTGACTTTTTTATCAAAATAAACTACACTTGACAAAGATTTCACGCTTGCCAATGGATAGTTTTTTTGTTCATGATAATTGGTATCTCAAGACGTAAGCCGAGAAATAGGGCATTACATAAACGGTTTAATATCAACAAACCCGATTTCGTTCGTTTTTTGCTGATTATGATTTATCATATTGTGTCTCCGATTTTATTCATTGTATCATCACATGGAATTTTACAACTATTATTTTTAAATTCTAATTTAAAAATATAGTGAAATGAGAAAGGGATCAAGAGCCGGCGCTGGATGTAAGTGCTTCTTAAATCTTGCTTATTCAAATAAGTTGTGTAAACGTCCAGCGTCGGCTCTTGATCCTCTTCTCATGTCACTATATTATTAATTATATTGTGAGCCTTTAAACAATTCTTATCTAATTTAAAAATTTAATTTTGATTTACAATTGGTAATTATACTGAGGTCTTATAATTGACTGAGACATTTGTAAATATTTTTTTTAATATACAGTTACAAGGAAAAATTAAAAAGGGACGTTGAAAGAATCAAACTCTTTAATACTACTTACAGAACTGAAATGTAGGTTATTTTCTAAATAATTTTTTTTCAACTTTTATACATTTAGTTCATCCTTTTTAAATTTTTATATTTTTTTCTAGAAAAAATTTTTTGTTCTTATGCATAGGTAATTTTATACCGCATTTTATGATATTTTGTTTAAATAAAACTTCTGTTTTTTGAATTTTTTGGTTCAAAAAATGAAAATTATTTGATGCTAAATTGCGATTACATGATGGACAGTTCAAAAACTCAAATTCTAGATCCTGAATACAAGATTTATTTTGTTAGTAATGATCGTATGAGAATAGTAATCGTATGAGATCAAGTGTTGTCTTAGAGCAGAAGCGTACTTTAAAAGTTTTCTACATTTATTGAATTTAATTTTTAATTTTTGCTCTCTCAATAATTCACAGAAGCAATAATTATTTAATGTTTCTTTTTCAAAAATCTTCCGTAAAATTAACTAAAAATATCTTTTATATTCCAAAAAACTGTCATTACCCCATCCTTCTTAGCTGTATGCTTTTTATCGCAAATAGATAATCGATCTTTCTTGTTGTGGTTAATTCATAGATTTTACTGAGCCTCGCACCTCTTGCCATGTTACTGCTGTATTTAACGAAAAATCTCAAGTTTTACTCTTTCAGAACTTAAAAAACAAATCACAGCTCGCATATTTTTTTTTCTACAATTACATAATGGAGTATTTATTTTAAATGAGATAATTACAAGAACACAAAAGCTTAACACAAAATCAAGGTTGGGAAAGTTATTTTGTAAAAGTATCTAGTTAAAGTTACAGTTTTTTTCACTGAAAAAACAACTAGTTACAGTTACAAGTTATCGACTCTGAAAAATAACACGTTACAGTTATAGTTACTCAAAGAGTAACGAGTCGTTACTTTTCAGTTACTTTTTTGTAATAAATGTGCATTACTATTTTAAATATAAGAATCTTACATTTCAAAATTTATTAACTTATTATATACTACATAAGTACTTAATTTTGTGTTATATTATTGTATATGTAATAAATCACAATTGTTTTTAACTTAAAATAAAAATACATTTAAAATATTAAATTAATTGCATATATGATATGCAATGGACCAACCAATTTCCTTATGCGTATGTTTATGCAACTATGCAAGTTTGTTTGGATAGGCCTTAATTCTTACAATTAATACAACCGTATATAGAATATTAAATTAACTGTTAAATTAGTTACTGGTTACCATAAATGTGTAACTAAGTTAAGTTACAGTTATAGATGAAGAAAAAGGAACGAAGTTAAGTTATAGTTACCGAAAAAAAATAACTGTAACTGTAACTTCGTTACAAGTAACGAATTACTTCCCAACCCTGCACAAAATTATTACTTTATCATAATAATTATGATTAATATAACATAATTGTATATGATTAATTATAATCATACTTTTATATAAAAAAAAGTTGTGTAAAAATTATATATACTGTGAAACGTGATACATAATACTGGATATAATATTGGATATAATACTGGGATTAATACTAGATTATTGGAAGAATTTATAAAATTGTAAAGTTTTTTTAGAACATTTTTTAAAGCTTTCATAATTGATATTTTATATATAACGATCCAAATAGTCAAATTGCTAACATTTGCTAACATTGGTAACATTTTGCTTATTGGAGATCCAGCACTATAGTTTATTAACTGTTTCTGCTTACAGAATTAGCGAAGACAGGACAAAATCCTCCAGATGGCTTCATGGCATCCAAAGCGTGGCAAGTTCTCGTGCAATACTATCAAAATTTAGATAAGGAGTAAACATACTTTTGTCTTTTTTCTCTTCTCTTTTTTTTCTCCTCTTGCTGTTTCCTTTCCTTTTTTTACTCTCATTCTTCTTTTTATTATTCTTTTTTTCTATTCTTCTTTCCTTCTTTCTACTTTTCCTCTTTTTAATTTATTTTTCCTTATTCGAAGAGTTCATCAATGCAGATTTGACATTGTGAAAAACCATCATAATTTTTAAAAATTTCTATAAAAATTGAATGAAATAAAAGTAAAAGAAAGAAGAAGATAGGGAGGAGAGAAAAAAAACTGTTTTAGGAGTAGATAGAAAAAAAAATTAAAATCTCGTAAAACTGAAAATCGGTAGAAAATGACTGGTGATGTCATACAGTGCAGATAACACGCATGCTTAAAGACGTCTAAAAATGCCGTCTTTTGGGCGTCTTTCAAATGTTTTTAAGACATGCGTGTTGTCTGGGGAAATAGTATCATAAAATGTATAAAATCATATATAGTATATCACATTTTTTATCCCAGGATATCTTTAAATAAATTATTTTCTTTCTGCAGATTTTTTAATCAAGACTTATTAATGGATAGCAAAAGTTTACTCCTAAGACAAAATTTTGAAGAATAATTTATTTACAAATTCATTCATTTACAAATGAATTATTCTTTAAAACTTTAATCTAAAATGTAATCACAAAATAAGATTAAAAGAGCTTAAAGGACCAACGCTAGATCTTGGTGCAAAACAGCACTAAGATATTCATACACTATATACACTATATTCTGTCAGAATATAGCTGTTTCGCACTAACAATAAGACCTAGCGTTGGCTCTTTAAGCTCTTTTAAATTTATTTATTGTGATTTTTCAATCGGTAGAGCCTTATTAACTTTATTTTAAAATGCAATCATTAAAATTTTTATTATTAAAAAATTGAAAAATTGTGGAAAAGAATGTTTTTCTTTTATCTAATTTTTGATAAGAAAATATTGACTTAAAGTTAGACAAAGAATTTATAGATTAAAGAAAATGAGAATAATGTAAAAATACTTTATATAAAAAAATAAAAACATTGTCGGTTTTTTTTATACCGAGAGATAAAATGAGAAGTTATATTGTTATTAAGAAAGGATATTATAAGTCATAAAGATATGTGGTCACATTTTCATAAAGGAAGAAAGAAAAGAAAAATAACACTAATAGGTACGTAATATTGTATATGCATAATACACATAAGGCATATGCTAGACCTGGTAGACTATCAAGCACAGGATTTAGTGGAATGGATCTTTTACGAAGTTGTGTATATTTGCAATTTAAATTTTATCTTATTGTTAAACAAATATGTGGCTTATTAGATATGTAATACATGATATATAATATACCCTTACGGAAAATAAGTATTAAGCTCTCAATACTTACAATTAGTATTGGTCAATACTTTTTGGGGGAATACTTAGTATTGATGAATACTTAGTAAGTACTAGTATTGACGAATACTTAGTACTAGTATTGACGAATACATAGTACTAGTATTGACGAATACTTATTATTGCAACTTTTTATACACATTGGGGTCCATAAATACCTGGACTGATTTTTTTACGACAATACTAGTGGCGCGATTTATTAATCAATATTTGAACCATGTTATGGTTCAAGTCCCTTAGCGACCTTTGTGTGAAGTTTCAGCTCTGTATGATCAGTTGACGCAGAGAACGAGTGGTTTGTGTAAACAGTATTTTAGGTAGTGTCACAAATTGCAAAATGTATGTGTGTAAGGAATAACGTTGCGATAAAATTTTGTTTTAAAGCCGCTATTTCGGCGACTGAAAATTTGTCAATGCTACAAAAGACTTATGGGGCTAATGCTTTAAAACGTACAGTGGTGTTTGAGTGGTACGGTCGTTTTTACAATAGTAGAAAATCGGTAGAAGACGATAAACACTATGGTCGTCCAGTGAGGACTTCTGTTTCCGGTGCGATAGAGTGCGACACGTGGCGTGGAGAGAAATTTTTGGAGTGACGTGGGAAGCGAGAGGAGAGTGAAAGGAGGAGTGAGAGCGAGTGGAGGAGAGAGTGGAGGTGAGAGAGAGTGGGTGTGAGTGGGGGGAGCGCAGGGTGTGAAAGAGAGAAAGGGAAAGGGCAAGGGAAAAGAAGTTATATAGATAGGCATAGAACATAGGATATAGAGACGGACACGATCGGGATTAGGAGAAAGAGCGAGGAGCACATAGAAGATAGAAGGTAATAGGTGAGGGTGATAGGTGGCGACATAGCGGGATGGAAAGGAAATTGGAATTGGAAATGGAAGAGAGATTAAGAGAAGCGAGAGGGGGGAGAGTTAGACGCGGAAGTTATGGGTGTATAGAGGAGATGTGGAAGAGGAAGAGGGAAGAGGCATGGGAAAAGGGGGAAGAGGAGGAGAAAGGCATATTTAGTAAAAGTAAGAAGATAACGAGGTCACCGGGGAAAGAAGAGGGAAAGAAAGAAGGAGAGCAGAAGGGGATAGAGAAGGGAGAGGAGGAGATGAGGAAATGGAAAAGGGAGATGGAGGGGGTAATGAAGGAGGTGATGAGGATGGGGTTGGAGGAGTGGAAGGAAGAAATGAGACAGATGAAGGAAGAAGTGAAGGAGGGAATATTAGACATAAGGAAGGAAATGAAGGAGATTAGAGATAAGGAGGAGGGGTGGAGGGAGGAGAGGGAGGAAATGAAAAGGCATATAAAGGGATTGGAAAGGAGAATAGAAGAGATAGAGAGAGACGGAGAGAATGAGAGGGAAGGAGGAAGGAAAGAAGGGAAGGGAGAAGGAGGAAAAATAGAAATAAGAATAAAAGAGATAGAAAGGAGGATGGAAAGGAAAGAGAGGGAAGAGAGGAGAAGGAATTTGGTAATAAAAGGAATAGAGGTAAGGGAAGGGAAAAGGAAAGAAGCGGTAGAAGAATTAATGAAGGTTATAGAAGCGAAGGTAAAGATAGAAGAGATATGGAGGATAGCGGAGGATAGAGAAAAAGGAAGAGAGATAGTGGGGATAAGGCTGGAGAATGATGAGAAAAGGAAGGAGATATGGGAGAGAAAGAAAATGCTTAAGGGTAGAAAGGAACGAATAGTAGAGGACTGGACATGGAAAGAAAGGAGGATGAGATGGAAATTGGAGGAGAT